GCAATGGCTTGGCCCCCCATCCCGGGTGTGTGACTGTGCTCTGCAATGGCTTGGCACCCCATCCCGGGTGTGTGACTGTGCTCTGCAATGGCTTGGCACCCCATCCCGGGTGTGTGACTGTGCTCTGCAATGGCTTTGCACCCCATCCTAGGTTGTTCCCTGCCTTGTGCTCATAGGCTCCTCCAGACCCCCCACAACCCTGAGTAGGAAAAAGGTGCTAAAGAAGGAATGAATCTAATTCAATCTAATTACTAGGACATAAAATTTAAGACTGCTTTACATGGTTTAAGTAATTGTTACCTTCCGTAAGAGAAATCCTGGAAAAAGTGACATCTATTTAAATTTTTTAAACTTAATGATCTGATTAAACCTCAAACGTTAATGATCTGATTCTGATTCAGTCATAGGATCCAAAACATTTGACCTCACTCTTTAATGGCATAATTTATTTTGCTATAAATTCTGTGTGAACTCATACAGCTTCGCAATGAATCACTAAACGCAAACACCTAAATGCCTTACCGTAAACATACTGCTACTATTTTCAGATTAGGTTTCATAGTAAAGGGTTATTAGCCACCCTTGAAGAATAAGGAACCTCACCCACCCCTCCAGCCTGCTTCTGGAAGCGGACACAGACTTGTAAACTGACCCGTCTCCATACAGGTTTGTTATGCTCTGCCAAAAACACATCTACTTAACACTGTTCAAACTACATGTGGCTATTTGGTGTATTACTCAATATTTGGGTTATACATTATTATCCATTCACTGTCCTTTAGGTGTTTGCACTTAGTGATTTCCCTTCAAATCTCCACCACTACCCTGAGGAGCTCTAGACAATAAACAGATTTCCTCTTGAGTGGTGCTACATACAAATGACTGATATAGCCTAAGGTTTTTCTCAAGAGCTATTAATGTGCTGTGATGATATTAAGAAGTCTCTGTCAGGTCAAATTCTGTACGTGGTTTTTAAATTACGGTGAAATCCTCGTGCCAACCTACTTGTAGGGTTAGGAATGAAAAAAAAGGAAACAAAAAATAGTCTTAGCAGTGAATATTTGTGTGAAAGCATTATCCTAGACACCAAGGAAGGTGACTACAATGGACTCACAGTCCAATAATTGCCTTGAACCCCATTCAACTTCCCATAGCTCAGAGTTGCAAGACTTAAGAGTAAAATGTTTGAAAGCTGAACAAATGATAAGCACGCATAACAGACGTCAAATCAACTGTCATAATACCTGTGTGTGTGATTCTCTACAATTATATGATGAATGGAGGGTTAAGATATTGTTTGCCAAATACGACATTCACAAATTTCATTTAATGGAAAACAATTGTTTTTATGGAAACAATCACACAGACAGGCACAACCACCCTTAGTTGACTGCTAGATTTCCAGATGGTCCAAACATAAAGCCCTGATCTTCTCGATAAAAGGATGAAAGTGTCCCAACCTGTTTTGGATTGATATAAGAGACATATACAGTTGATGATTTTAGTAGAAATTTAATCTTAATCTATTAAATCATTAAGCAACGGTTTATTAACATTATTCCTTGGAATATAACTGAGCTGGGCCTATTTATTTACCTGTGAACACTATATGAACCCAAAAAACCCTTCACAATGAGTTGCATTAATATTAGAGTTTGTAAATTACGCCTGCATGACACAGACAAAGCAAACTCCTCTATAAAACATATTTTCTCCTGTTAACCTTTCTTAAATAGGACAGAGACATGTACGGCTAAGGCCCACCCCGTTGATAATTTTTTGTGATAAGAACGTTACCGAATGTTAAGATTAAGGTATTGAAATGCTCAAAGTGTCCAGTGTTCCTGACGTTCCCAGAACATTATCCCACTGCTACAACTACTACTGCAACTAAGATTAATAACATAAAAGGAAATAAAGGGCATGGTAGGGCAGCAGATGTCGTTTTACACAAAGATCATAATAATACTTCATTATAAAATAATAATTTTTCAACATTAATTGCGCTAAAATTATGTTTAAATAATACTGTTATTGTACTGACATTGACAGGACCTTAAAATGTAAAACTTGGAAATAACGTCCCATTCTCGGCTAACTTTGAGAAGACCCTCAGATAACGTTGGCTAACGTTCTGGCAAAGTTCCCTGTGAGCTGGGCAGTTAAACTGCAACACTTAACATCACTGCTCTGTGACCAGACATTTACCTCTTTTCAAAAAAAAAAAAAGGGAAACTGCTAAACTGTTCGCAGTGAATTGACGCGACTGGTGACTGAATATGGTTAAATAAGAAGAATGTATGTACGTATTAAAATGGATATATCGATGAATGGAACGTAAAACGCCCGATAAATGCGCAATATGAATACGCGTTACATGCAACATCCTTTGCATGGCGAGCTGATTTGAGCATTTCCAGGAGTCATTAAGTAAAGCAGAAAATAAGCATACTTATACAAATACGCAGCTAACCACAAGCGCATAAAAGTCGCTATTGTTTGACTTATTTCGATTTTTTTTCAAAGGGAAAAAAACGGAAAATTGTCAAACGACAGATCTACTCATACCTCTTCAAGTGTTACCGACACTAACATATCAGGTCATTAACACCTGTGATTTTTCAGGAGTACCCCCGAAGTACCAGTAACCCAGTTTACTTGCCAATTAGGCTACTTAACCAGTATAAATAGTTAAGCTGCGCTCACGCGGTGTACGCTGTTTTTATTACTAACATAATAATGCTCTCGATACGCGCGTTACTCCGAATGAGTTCAAACAGATTAAAACATTCATTGTTAATAATAGGCTATATTAGTATTTTTTCCGCTTCATATTGAATCAAAGGAAGCATATAAGTTACCAGTGGCTGTTCTAGTGTTAAGTACGTATTCCTTAACTTCCAGTCTGCTAACTATGGAGTAGCCTGATGTAGCTATATAAGACTTTTTGTCTGTTATCTGTATTATATTAACTATTTAAAGGCTTGCTATTGTGGTTGCGTGATGTTTCTAGCTATTTCTGTAAAATTTATATAACATTAGTTAAACATACACTAACCAATCTGTCATTGCTAGAACGGTACAGATCTCCGGCAAGCAGTTTTTAATACACTGTAAAGGACGTCGATCAACAAATAAAGACAGACACGCACACCAACACATAGCCCGCGTAGCACGTAGTACTGAGTTTTTATCCTTAAAATCTTACCTTCGTGATAAAAACTCCTAATCGTATTGGCCCTGCTGGCAGAGCGCTCCGCAGTTTTTGCAGAGGACGATCTCGCCCTGTTCAGTTTGTCTTCTCCATTCCCCGAGTGCGTTCGATAGAGGTCCATCATGTACTGCGGTACTACGGCGGACCGGCTGGGGTTTGGTCTCCGCTTCAGTCCGAACATGTTCAGCAAACGAAGCTCAAACTCGTTAAGGATATCCTCCGGGAGTGGTGGACTCTGGTGGCCCGATTCGCTATACCTCCGACGGCCCACCTCGGGGATAAGTCCTATTGACCCGCCAAGCAACACCTGAGCAAGCAGCAGAACTGTAAGGGCACGAACCCCGGAGACCATGATCAGTCTGTACTTAGGGAATGGCGAGCGAGTCGTCAGTGCTTGGATGCTGCTACAATATACACATCAGCAAGTTATATTTACGATGTTCTCTTGGAAGAATCCATCCTTTGAAAAATCACTTTAAACCAGCAGACCTTATCAGTTGGTCTCAATTGGTATAAGCTTGTCTGCAGTTAACCTAGTCACCACTATATGTATACGTACACTAACTGTAATAGTACAGTAACTACTTATGAAGCATAACTAACATATTACTTCAGATACTGAAAAAAACGATTTGGAATTGGACATGAAGTACTATGGTTAAATTGTCGTAACTTAAGCAACAAGTGCCACAACAGACATTTTTTTTCTAAGGAAAAAAAGTTTTAGAGCGAAGAAACACAACCTACCGCCTAAGTATACGTGACAGGATGAATCTGAGAAAGATAACGCTATACGTATGACATTATATAGTCTATATGTTTGCATTTACAAGACAAGTATTCGACTCCCAAAATCTCAAAACACAGCGGATAGCAGAGCACAGTGAATTATTTAGGCTACTATGAAATATTCTATGAAAAAGTTTTACGTTTAGTAGTTCCATACAGATAAAAAAAGATCACAGAATTACTAAGAGCCCGGCGGGTTTCCAATCGCGTCTCTGTCCATTGAAGAACAGCTGCACCTTACATTGTGATTCTCCCGAAATATTCTCCGAATGGTCCATGGAAGCTTTTCACACGGAAGAAAAGTGACTGTGATCATGAATGAGGAGAAGCTTTCCGTCTCTTGGCGTATTGTGCGATCATAAGCCGTGTCGGTCTTCTTAAAATGCCCTCATTATTCCCATACAAAGACAAATTGTCCACATAAAGTCAAAATGAGAACTCAGAGTTGGTTCAAGCGGCACCACTGTTAATTCCTAGGCTTTTCGCTTATTTCCGTAAAGCCTCCACAACACAGTACGCTCCTTTTTGTACAATCTCATCGGATAATAAGTTGGTCCGGGATGTAAATGTTGAGCCAAATTGTTGTAAAAGTATCCCTTGGCTTAATTGGCTCCGTTAAAACACGCCGGCACAGTTACATACTAATTTGGAAGTATCCCAGTAGGTTACATCACTATACGCGTTTTTATTAGACGAGGCGAACTTTTACCGTTTCCTTGACTTGGCGCAGGTTGCTTTGGTGGAAGTGAAAGGAGGCTTCTGGTTTTCATTGACGCGTTTTACTTGGCCGGTGATGTCATTGACGCAAGGCTGAACCCAAGTTTGTTTTATCCTGAGATGCAAAAGACTTAAACGTTCGAAGTAGTAAAATTGTTAAATCGTTGCATCTGTCCTTCGAAATAGGTCTTCACATCGTAACGGCAGATCATAAACGTTTAAAATCACAGCATCAGTTCCTGTAGTGCTTTTTTTTGCCCTAAACCCGTTTTAATATCAGAATACACTTCTGAAATCACAGAGAACTTGCATAAATCTACAAATTGTGATTGATGTAATTTGTGATTGATAGTAGACCCGTTTTATTAAAACACTGATAAATAGCTATTGCGCGGATAACATTTGGGCCTACCATAAATGACAACCCACAAAATACAGAAAATAAACAGCTTATTGTATTAAACAAGTAGCCTATGTAGCGGGACTAACTAATATTAGGTTCGGCAGATTGAGTTGCCGCGTTCTATCTACAATTAGGGTGTCAATAAATAATTTAAAGACAACAGGAGTCACATTGGATACATTTTCCAAGGACATTATTGTTACTCAGATTTTGAGGTGACATGTTTAATTTCCGTTCGCAGGGTGTTTACGTCTCTATAGTCTACTTTTGTTCTCCTGTATGCATTTTCTTGGAAAAAACCACGGTCAATTCCACTGCCTGTGAATTTCTGCAGCGTTCACAAGCTGGCACCAAACCCAGCTATTCCAATAGCCAGAATATGACATCTTACGCCTTAAATTTCAGCGGTTGCGTTGATAATCCTGCGGGCGCGTAAATTGGAATTTATGGCACCGAATAAAGAATTTTATATGCTAATCGCCCAAAAGTAAGGGCAGCCATAGGTAACCGCTATTTATAATCTATTTACAAAACACTGAGTTGGGGCTTGCACTAGAGCAAACATCGTTAAAGACGGGGGGAAAAGGACGAAATAAGTTTAAAACAACTTTATTGTTAAATTTAACCCCAACCCCCCCTATATAAAACATACGTTCATCTACACCCACACTCGTCCACCACCATGTCCTCATAATGCCTCAAAACCACGTTGTCATTATTGTCGTAATAAAGCATAGAGATCGGGGACAATTTGATCGGGACACAGCACGGCTGCGGCGTCCCCTTAGGATTGAAGGAATGAACCAGGGTCTGCAATATGGCATGATTGGTCCCATTTAAGCTTTCGCTCAGAGGAAAGGGACACTCGCCGTGACAATAATTAGCCATGTAGCCCTGCGGCGCGATGATCCAGTCTTGCCACCCGACATCCTTGAAGTCGATGTACAAGCGCCTGGGTTTGCACACGCTGCTGGGCGTCACAGGCAGATGCTGTGCACTCCTCCTCCTTCTCGACCTGCACTGCAGGGGGTTTAGAGACACTGTCACCAAGGACGTGTGCAGCTCCGGGACCATCTCAAAGCCATGCAACATGGGGTTTACGGAGTTGGGGTGGAGCGCAATAATAAACCCGAAGTTTCTGCCCGGTTTCCTCCAGGTCTCTGCGATCTCAGTCAGGTTCAGGGTGACGGAACCAGGGATTAGTTGAATCGATCGAGAGAGCAGGAGCTTCCGACTGGATTCGTCATGTACTCCTTTTAACGCAGTCTTTAACACCTTATAGAGGTACATGCTAAATACCTCTACGCCTGCTTGTGGAAAATGATAGAAGGGATGTTTGAATTTTATTTCCAATTGCGCCAGAGTCAGCTGTTCCACCATCTCAAGCACAGATATGTTGAAGAACATGTGTTTCTCCACACAAGTTGGGCACTGGCTATTCGGGCCAGAGAATAACCCACCTACAGTAGGTGCATAAAAAAAAAAAAAAAAAAAACACACACCAGTTAGGACCATTTACCTTAGATGTTACAATGCCTCTTAGCTGACTTTGTCAATTCCAATAGCATTAATTATAATTATCGAGGTAAGTAAGCAACAAAAGTATACGACCTTGATCTTGAAGGATTCGCACAATATTTCCTTGGACACCAAATTCTGGTACAGTACAGGGATCGTTTTGATGCGGCTCGGACTCCTGGGCTTTATTTTTCCTGAAGATCTTCCACAGGACTGAAGGTACTGGGGCATGATGCACTGGCTTCGGCCGACTTGAAAGACCAAGCGCGTTTAAAAATAATCGCTCCTGCACGCTGTCCATGCTTTCAGAACAAGCTGCCCCCCAAAATAAAACAACGAAAACGCCAATTTTCAGATTACTCATAGTAGAAAAGGCACACACACAAGCACGTCGCATTTTCAGACCATTTTCCCGTTATATTGCGCAAAATGTTATCAGTCATGTAACACTTCTTTAAACTGAACCAACCAGCGGTCGCAGCTGATTTATTAGCAGGTGCGAATAGTTTGTTTCTGTTTCCCCACGTGTACGTAATTAATAAGGGTTCAGCAGCGTTGACAATTACAAATCGTATAAAAGAGGCGGAATCAGCGGGTCAATTCAATGTTAACAGGATTAGATGATGTAACGAGGTGTACATTTCTGAACTTATTTGTTACTGGGTGCTCCGTAGAGAGCGATTTCGAGGTTTAACAATATGAACATTAAACCGGTTACTATCGGACATCTTGCAGTTTTTTTTTTATCGATAAAGAAATAAAATTCAGTAAAAATAAACGTAGAATTAATTTATGTGTTAAGATAGCATTTGTTTGAATACTTTGATCAAACACTTAAAACAGTTGCCTGCTTGTCACGGAAATATTTTAAACAGTTGACTGGTAATCATTTTTTTTTCCCAGTAAAAATCATTTAGAATTTTGCACAGTTGTTACCAATAATGTACCCATGGAGGTCAAATATTGCAATCGCTTCAGTTTCATTTAATAACAAAGTCCAGGTGTCATCCTGTCGAATTCCCAATTTCCATCCTTCTGTCTGGGATAGGCTCCAGGCCACCCTACGAGTTAAGAGGTTGGAAGATGGATGGATGGAT